TAAGCCATACCAATCAAGGCCTTCATAAGAAGACAAAAAGGTATTTTATATCTAAATAAAACCACTTCTATTCATGGTTCTTAAGAGAGTTTCTACAAATATATTAAAAAAATAAATAGTAATATAATAATATATAGGTTTTTTAAAATTAAGAAACTCATCATTCAAATTTTCTTAAACAATAACTTTTAGAACTTTCTTTCTCTATTTTTTAGAACCCCATAATTATTTATTAATGTTTTTTATAGTTAAATATTATATTTTAGTGTTTAGAACTCTTGTAAGAACCTCCCAATGGAGATGGTCACTATATGTTAATTCGTGTTTAACCCTAATCTACAAAACGTCATCTTACCTTTTGCAACAATCTCAGCCTCTTATGCTATGAATTTCTCACTCGAAGAACCACCATGGAGAAAGAAGAAAACGAATTCATCTTCTCCTTCGTTGTTGTCTTTTCTAGAAGAAATCGTTGTAAACTGCTTAGATCGTTGTAAACTGCTTAGCTCGCATATCGAAATCGTACTACCCGAAACTATCCCTGGTATGCAAGACCTTTTCCTCTCTCATCTTATCCATGGATATTTACGTAGCGCGATTGAACCCTGAAACCCACGAAGGGGCCTATCCAGAATTTTTGTTAAACGGGGGCATAATTTTATATAAAAATTAAATTGTTAATTTATAACAAAAATATATATTTTTATAAGATACATAAAATAATCTAACAATGTTTATTGTAATTTGTAAATCATAACCAAAAATATTTCATCACTATATTTTGACATAAATTTAGTAATTAAATCAATCTTTTTTGTTTAAAAATCTAAAATATATTGTATTGATGTATGTGATTTGAGTACAAAAAAACGTCCAATTTGACAAAGTTTTTAATGACAAATACCAATGAGCATTTATTTAGATAAATTTATTAACTTTTTGATATTACATTTTAATTTATTCATTAAGCATTTGGAAACAAGTTTCAATTTTTTTGATAAGATTTGTGGTTCAAAAAAGAATGGGGCAAAAAGTGATTTTACTATGGGGCACTTGCATCCATCTTGGCTCAAGTACATCCGCCCCTGAACCAACGAAAACGTCCTTCATGTACGCTTACAATTGCCTGATAGTCGTCTTCCCAAGTGGTTTTAGTCTTTGGATAAAACCTGACCAAACCTTAACCAACGACATCCAAAAGAAGAAGGGCAATTCTAGTGGAAATACTTTGTTGGTACCAATACCTTCTTCTTATTCTCCTCGTGTACCGATGTTCACTGGTGAGATTGGTTCAGATTTATATGGTATAAGCAGACACAATACTCCGTCCTCGGTAATGTGGGTCCGTTACAAGAGTATTTATGCATGGCGTAAAGCCCCTAGCATGACGGTAGCTCGAGTAATCCCCGTTACGTGCATCCTCGATGGGAAAATATATGTAATGGGAGGTTGCACGAAAGATGAATCCGCGAAATGGGCCGAGGTTTTTGATCCAAAGACTCAAACTTGGGATCCTTTACCTGATCCCCAGGCCGAGCTTTATCTTCAATTAAAACAGTGGAGGTGATCAAAGGAAAGATTTACGTTAAGAGCACCGAGAAGATGTACTATGTTTATGATCCGAAAGAAGGTAAGTGGGAAACTAGAGCAAAAACAATAGAGACTAAGTTTGAGATAGAGAATGTAAGGTACAGTTTTGATGGACCGGTTTGATCAAATTGTGATAAAATAGC